CTGACCTGTCTCTCTCACTTGTTCAGTCTTCAGAGTAACTCAGTGAGTGACAGAGGCATCAAAGCTCTCTCACACGCTCTTCAGTCAAACCGAGGTCTCAGCTGTCTGAAGTACGTCAATGCCAAACACCATAGTATTAAACTATTTAAACGTATGTTCTGGCTAAGAAATAATACTGACTTTGTGTGTCTGTTTGATGGCAGTCTAAGGGAGAATTCAATAGGAGTCGCTGGAGCCAAAGACATCGCCAAAGCCTTAAAAGTCAACACTTGTCTTAGAGAACTCGAGTAAGTACACACAAAATACATGCTTAATTAGTCAAAATGAACACATACCATTGTCTTTTACTGTTTTTATATAAAGCTAATTAAGACTAAAAATAATGTACGTATATATTTTTTTCCACATATCTATATTATAAATACTATAAATATTTTACTATTATAAATATTGTAAATGATTATAAATATGTATTAGTTAAAATAAAAAACATTTTAATCTGTAGTAAATATAATTAGCTTTATTATTTATATATATATATATATATATATATAGCTAATTCCTATAGACTAAAAACATTCATTTGTATGTAATAATTAAATAAATTAATCATATATTTATTTATAATTAAAATATTTAATAATATATAAAAAGCTAATTATAATACAGACTAGAAATATGAAATTTTATGCAAGAAATAATGCTTTATTTATTTCCTATAAAAAAGAAAAAGAATGTAGTTAAAAAAATAATATTTTTTTTTGTATTTGTATTTAATAGATAAAAATGAATATTTATTTATTAAATAATTTTTTAGCCTATAGTTATTATTATTAACTTACAAATGTATATTCATTATATAATCATTTTTAATTTTGAAGCGATATAATCTGATTTATTATATTTTTGAGTTTTTCACAAATTAGAGTTTAGTAAAACAGAAATGTATGTGCTGTTCATCTATCAAATATATAAAACTAAAGCATTTTGTTTCACAAAGTCATGTAAAAATGAATGTTGTACTCTGTGTGTCACCATGTATTGAGCTTGTGTTATCCTCACAACCTGAATGTGTTACAAATCATTTATCAGTGTTTTTGTGTGTTTGTGTGTGTGTGTTCAAGTCTGACTGCTAATCTTCTTCATGACGAGGGAGTGACGGCCATCGCTGAAGCCATGAGGGTCAACAGAGCCATCACCTCCTTACAGTGAGAGAACACACATATTCTCACATACACACTCATGGAACAACACAATACACATGTATACATACACTTTTAAATGAACCTACAAATACATTTAAGACAAAAGAGATGAACTGATGAGAACCTTAAAGATGACTCCTGGTCAGGTAATGACATCACTGAGGTCAGGATGTGATGTCATCCAAGGTCATATTTATCACAATGACTTAATGTGAAGGTGTTGACTTTAGAAATCCGTTTGACACTTAAATGACTAATACAGTCATAAATACGCCTCTGTGTTTGTTTCAGTCTCCAGTGGAACTTCATAAAGGCTGGAGCTGCTAAAGCTTTAGCACAGTCTCTCATGAGCAACACCTGCATTCAGCTGCTGGAGTAAGAACATCTACATCCTCATGCAACTCTATCAGTCCTCTCCTGCATAAAATCATCTCCACAGATCACTGCCATATTGTTGATTTCTCATTGACACCGTATGTAAAAAAAAAAAAGCAAAAAGTTCTTCAAAGCTGCTTTGAAGCACTTTTGGTTCTGCATCTTTCCTTCCACTCTTAAAAATAAAGGTTCCAAAAGGGGTTTTTAACAGTGATGCCATAGAATTATTTTGGGTTCCCCAAAGAACATTTCGTAAAATGTCTATTTAAAAGTTTAAAATAACTTTTTTTAAAGTTTTGCAAGTCTAAAGAACCTTTGTCCAATGGAAAGGTTCCATGGATGTTAAAGGTTCTGTATGGAACCACCTTTATTTTTAAGAGTGTATTTTATTGGCATCCATGGTTACATGAAGAAGTTTTAACATCCATGAAACCTTTAAGGTTCTTCATAGTGGAAAAATTCTTTCGATTTTAAAAATGCTCTTCACACTAAGAAAAAAATCTTTTAGGAATTGTTCACTGAAAGATTCTCTGGGGAACCAAAAATAATTCTTTTATGGCATTGCTGTGAAAACATCCTTTATTTTTAGGAATGTACAGGTTCTTCAGATCTGTGTTTTGGTTTTTGGGTCCTTTAAAACTCTACAAGGTTTACTAAAGAACTAGAGAATGAAATGCTCTTGGTGTAACTTTTTGGCTCTCTAATGCATCAGACTGACAGGTTCTTATTGGAATGAACCTTTAGTTTTAAAAAGTGCATGTCTCAGGTTCATTGTAATATAGTGATATCTGTATCATGAATGATCAGCGTTGTGTGTTTCTCTGTCAGTCTGCAGGAGAACGCTCTGGGTGATAACGGAGTCATTGCTCTGGCCTGTGCTCTGAGGTCAAACTCTTCTCTCAGTGTGCTCTAGTGAGTCTCACTTCAGTTCATTATCTCGTGACTATTTGCTAAAGTCGGTTGTGTCTGACCTTGCGCATGTGTGTTGTGAAGTCTTCAGGGTGTATCAGCGGGTAAATCAGGGGCCGTAGCACTAGCTGATGCTCTGGTGGTCAACGAAAGCCTTCATACACTAGAGTAAGTCTCTTCTGCTCACCCAGGCTGCATTTATTTGGTAAAAAATACAGTAAAATCCTGAAATAATTTTACAATGTTAAATAACTGTTTTCTATGTGAATATCTGTTAAAATGTAATTTATTCCTGTGATGCAAAGCTGAATTTTCAGCATCATTACTCCAGTCTTCAGTGTCACATGATCCCTCAGAAATCATTCTAATATGCTGTTTTGCTGCTCCAAAAACATTTCTGGTTATTATCAATGTTGAAAACAGTTGTGCTGCTTCATATTGTTATGGAAACCACGATACATCTATTTTCCATGATTCTTTGATGAATAAAATGTTAAAAACAACAGCCTTTATTTGAAATAGAAATCTTTTGTAAATGTCTTTACTGTCACTTTTGGTCAATTTCATGCATCTTCTCTAAATAAAATTATTAATTTCTTTCAAAAAACATGATCCTGAACCTTTGAACAGAAACACAATTTTTGCATACAACTAGAAGAAAAAAGAAACACAGTTGACACAGTGTATGATAAACTCTCTTTAAAAACTCAATATTTATCATTTTTGTTTAGTCTGCGTGGAAACTCCATTGGGATGGAAGGAGCGAAGGCGTTTTCCAGCTCTCTGAAGAACAACAGGAGCTTGAGAAGTCTGAAGTACGTCTACAGACCACATTATTTTCACTATACATTCCTAGAACCTATCAAAGCATATCTGAGAGATGTTATTGAAGCTGTTTTACCACAAAATGAACGTGAGCTTTGGAAAAATGTGGCTGGGATCCAGAATAGTAATCAGCTTTGAACATTTGCAAAATGTACAATGTAGAAAAAAAGTGAATTTTCTACGTGAATACATTTTAAAGTGTAATTCATTCCTGTGATGCAAAGCTGAATTTTCAGCATCATTACTCCAGTCTTCAGTGTCACATGATCTTCAGAAATCATTCTAATATGCTGATTTGCTGCTCAAGAAACATTTCTGATTATTATTTTTGTGGAAACATACATTTGTTTCAGGATTCAATTACAGTACTAAGAGCATTTCTGTACTCAAAACAGAACATGAATGTTGAAACGGTGTATTTGCGTGTGTTTGTAGTCTACAGGAGAATTCTCTGGGCATGGATGGAGCGATCTTCATCGCTACTGCGCTGAGAGGAAACCATCAGCTCACCTACATCAAGTCAGTCTGTGTGTGTGTGTGGGTCTATGTGTGAACCGCCGTCTGTCTGTGAGAGGTTCAACCAGTGTGTCACGGTTGCGTGGCACGTGGTGAATGTTTTTGCCCTGGCTGTGGTTGTGATTCTGAACATTGATCATTTAAATTTGCAGTCAATGGCACATTTCACCTCAGCGTGATTGATCCTGTGTGAGATTCATCTGCGATGTGTGTCAAAGTGTGCTATGATTTCCTGTTTCTGCTTCAGTCTCCAGGGTAACGGCATCGGGGAGTCAGGGGCAAAGGTCGTCTCAGACGCCATCAAAGCTGGTGCACCAGATTGTGTGGTGGATATCTAGCACACGCACAAACACAACACGTTTATTTAGAGCCTTATTCGTGTAAATATTTCTGAAGTTTATGTATTAAAGTTGTGTAATAATAAATGTTTATTTTATAAAAACAGAACTGACAAAGATGTTGCCTTAATAAAACACATCATACAACAATTTTGCTGAACTTTCATTCAGATGAATTCAAATAACTGAGAATTTTAACGGCAATTAAACCGGAGTCTACACTTGAATACATATGAGAAGGTATAATCATATATACTGGAAATTACATTTTGTTATTTACAGATATCTCCATGTCATGAAAAAACATTTAATGTGAATTGTCACATTCAGTTCGATGCAGCTATTTACATAAGAATTGAAGTCTATTAACCTTTTTGGAAAGCAAATGCATGATTATTTAAAGGAATAGTTCACCCAAAATTGAAACTTTGATGAAATTTTACTCATCCTCATCCATTACTTTTACATAAAGAGTTTGTTTCTTCATGTAAACAGATTTGGAGAAATGTAACATTTCATCACTTGCTCATCAATGGATCCTCAGCAGTGAATGTGTGCCGTCAGAATGAGTGTCCAAACAGCTGATAAAAACATCACAATAATCCACAGCACTCCAGTCCATCAATTAACATTTTATGAAGTGAAAAACAACATGTTTGTAAGAAACAAATCCATCATTGAGGCGTTTTAACTTTGAACCGTTGCTTCCAGCTAAAATACGAGTGGTGTGGATTACTTGTGGATTATTGTGATGTTTTTATCAGCTGTTTGGACTCTCATTCTGACGGCACCCATTCACTGCAGAGGATCTATTGGTGAGCAAATGATGTAATGCTACATTTCTCCAAATGAAGAAACAAACTCATCTACATCTTGGACGGCCTGAGGTTCAGAAATGTTCCGAATATTTAAATTGAACTATTCCTTTAATGAATGCTGGTTGCATGTTAAAAATCATTATCACTCTCCTCAAGGATTTGTGGGTGCAGCGATCGGGTTGAGTGTCCGGGTTTGGCAGAGGAGCCCTCCAGACTGTCATTGTCTTCATTCAGATCCTCGTTTTCCTCTTCCTCCTCATCTTCCTCACCATCTTCATCATCATCGTCTACGTCGATCTCACTATCCTCTGACTGCAAACCAAAGCACATTGTGAAATATAAAACAGAAGACACACACAGCGCTCAGTGGAGGGAAACTGAAATGAGGCTCAATCAATATCTCTAATTAAGAATTATCATAATTTGTTATTACAGAACCACCAGGTGTTCACACTCATACACACGCACGTCAGTGTTATTATTAACTAAAGCTACAACTATTAAAGATTGTTTTTCATAATTAAAAAAAAAAAAAAAAAGGCTGAAAAAAAAAAAATATTTTTAAAATTTTAATTTAAAATTAGAAATGTTTCCTTGGCTACTAATTAAAATAAAATAAGTTTAAATACTAAAATGACTAAAACTAAAATAAAAATAAAGCTAAACAGAAATATAAAAAAATAATAAAAATGACACGCACAACAAAATAAAATGAAAACTGAAAATATAAAAATAAAAGCTAAACAAAAAATACAATAATAGCATAATAATACTAAAATAACACTGACGCACACACCACCTTTCTTCTCTTTTTCTTCCGGCCGCTGCCGGATAGATGGACTCGTTCCTTTACTCTGGGCTTGGAGAACGAGTGCAGAGGAAGAGAAAGAGAGATGGAGTGAAAATGGAGTGAATGAAATGAGAGTTGGCGGCATATATACTGAGAAAAGAAAACGAAAGCACAGTCACTGTAGATAAAGTTATACACGGTCATGGAGGAAAAACATGGAAACGTGAAGAAAGAAAGCCTAGGAAACCAAGATTGGCTTAATAATATGAAAACTGAAGAATATCACAGAAGAAATTATATTGATATCATGTTGGTTCAGTGTTGTTAACTAAAACTAATTTTCGGTAATTGAAATGAAGCTGAAATACAAAAACAAAACAAAAATGAGAAATCTTGCCTTGGCAACTAACTGAAATACGTCTAAATTGAAGTATTAAAATGACTAAAACCAAAACTGAAATAAACAAATTAATGCTAAATAGAAATATATAAAAAAAATTCTAAAGCTTTATCTAAAATTAAAATTAAAACTAAAAATATAAAAATAAAAGCTAATCCAAAATATTACTAAATAATATTATATAAATAATAATAAAATGACAATGTTTTAGTTGAATCCGTGTTTTTACCTCATCACCGTCTCCAGCCCTCATACTGCCAATGAATCGAGCGCCACCTCGACCTGCAGCGGAAACAAGAACAATCAGATACTCGCATATGTCACACGTGTGAGCGCGGCTGCAGATTATGTAGAGCTTCATGCTGAACTTCTGCCATCACCTGATATCTGTGCGTGTCGTGGTCTGGGTTGCTGTCCCTCATCGATGTCGCTGTCAGATCCTTCATCCTCTGGTATGTCCACATCTGAGTCTTCATCTCTTGCTGCAGAGGAGAACGCATGAGATCTTTGACAAACATGTTCAAATGTGTGTGTGTGTGTGTGTGTGTGTGTGACCAACCTCCACTCCTCATGAGCCTCTTCTCCTCCTCTTTTAATTTGTTTTGTCTCATTTTCATTGCCATCTCTGCTTCCTGGAAGACAAAAGCAGGTGAATTTGGGTGAAATAAGACAGAAAACATGCTCTTGATAGCTTTCATGAGATTCATTCGTTGTTGTCGTTTGTTTTTTTGTATTTTTAGCTAGATGAATTAATGATATGGTTTAGGTATAGGCCTCATACGAGCACCAGAGAGAAGTTCGGATGCATTGCACTGATTGTACCTCGAAGCGTTCCTGCTCGGCTCTGTGATAGTCATCTAGCTGCTGCTCCAGGAAGCTCACGTTACGGAATTTCTCCACGTACGTCTGGTACTGCTTCTGCAAGTCCTCCTCGATCTTCTCGTATTCATCCATAAACGCTGGACTACATAATATATGTTTGTGCATTATTTACATTTTTTTGCATGTAAAGCATATTATCGTTAACTAAAACTAAAACAAAAGCCATAAAAAAACCTTGAAATAAACATTAAAGGGGTCATATGCGATTTCAATTTTTCCTTTCTCTTTGGAGTGTTACAAGCTCTTGGTGCATAAAGAAGATCTGTAAAGTTGCAAAGACTAAAGTCTCAAATCCAAAGAGATATTCTTTATAAAAGTTAAGAGTCAACCACGCCTACCTAAAACGGCTCGTTCTAACACGCCCCCACATACCTACATCACTATCGCCGCTGCCATGCCGTGGAGATGCTGTGTGCTTCGTTGTGAAAGCGAAACTACTTTGTTTGGTCTTCCAAAAGAGGACGATATCGCTTCATAATGCTTGAGCTGATCCGTGCTGGTCGCTGAGTAAATACTTCAACGTCGCGCTGTGGATCGCCGGATCGGCTTTCACCGTGGACGAAGCGGAGTCCAGCCCGGGGTCGTCACATGTGGTTGCCGCAGGCATCACAGTATGGTAAGGGGCGTAACATTTCCGTCACATGCTTGAGGAATTCGGCCAATCACAACGCACTGGATAGCTGGCCAATCAGAGCACACCTCGCTTTTTCAGACCGATGAGCTTTGTAAAAATCAACGCGTTTCAGAAAGGCGGGGCATAGACATTAAACAATAATGTCCAGTATGTGGAAAATAATGTGTTTTTTTAACCTTAAACCGCATAAACACATTTCATTACACCAAATACACAAAATAATGTTCTTTTTAGCAGCATCATATGACCCCTTTATTTCAAATACAATAATATATTTAATATATTTAATGTAGTTGAAGTACTAAAATAACTAAATAACCTTAATAAAAACTATATAAACATATTTAAAACCTATTTAAAATTATTAAAGCGCAACCAGAAAATATAAAAATAGAATTTAATTCAATATTTGAACAAAAATTATAATAGTTTATCAATGGTACTAGCTCACCGCACGCTCTGTAGAGTTTGTAAGCGTTTCTGGTTTCTCTCCAGGTCCTGTTTCTTCTTCTCGATTTTGGCCTCCAGGCTAGCCTCATCTGACGATACGTTACTGAGCAGATCCTTTGTCATTTGGATGCCCTCCTGAACACAGACATGCAAACACACATTCAGATGCCATTCAAAGCCCAAAATAACATCACAATCCTCCAAAGACGTTCCTCCATCTCCTCCTGTTCCTTTGCTTGGTAAATAATTCAAGCACGCCGCTCGCTGAATGCACTAAAATCATCCTTTTCAAGAACTGACCTGAAACAGAATGTGACTTTGAGTTCTTGTACCGCTCTAGAGACTTTCATAACAAACATTCAAAGAACATTTCTGCAGCATTTAGGGTATTTCTCAGTACAGGCAGTTCTTTCAGAACTTCTTTCAGTTTTAGAATACTAAAGCAGTGGTTCTCAACCAGGGGGCCTCAAGATGAGTTCTGAATAAGACAAAACAAGCATTAAAATCAGCGAAAACAAAAATCAAGATATTAAAACTGACATCATATTTATTATTTAATTCATTTCCTCAACAACTGTGATTTTTATTGAAGGACCAGCATTTTCATGGTCTTGGGAAACCTTGATATATGAAGGAAGGAATTTTAAAAAAGTGTAGACCTGGAAATGTCATGGAAATTAAGAAAATCCTATAAAGTCAAGGGCATTTTTATAATTAACAGAAATTGTTCTAGTTATGTAAAGCTCTAAAATATTTTATAGGGTAGAAATTGCGATTTGTGAGTAAAAAAAAAAAAAAGAGAGAAAAATCCCTGTAATCCCAAATGACCCTGAAGCAGGGTTATTATAGTTAACTAAAGGTACATTTGAATTATTTATAATGATTTTATTGAAGTATTTTAATATATCGCTACTTTCAGTTTCCATAAATAAAAGTTTAAAAATGAGCAGCTTTGTCATTACAGCGGAACCACCAGAAATATCTTGGAGGGACGTTGAGTATTGACATTGTGGGCCCTTGGAGTCAAAGAGGTTGAAAACCTCTGTACTAAAGCGATCATATCATATAATCAGGATCTTCTGAACCCGTGCTTGCGAGGATTTGTGTTTTACCATGACATCTTTGACAGCCGCTCTCAGAGCTCTCTCTGTCTCGGTGATCTCCAGCGGTCGGGCTATCGCAGCCGTCCTGCTCTCCCTTAGGTCCTCTTCGTGCCCCAGCAGGTCAAACAGAGCTGCTCCCTTTGCTGTAATTTCAGATCCCAGCTGACGTGCCACCTTTAAATCGGCTATCTGCAACAAAACATCCAAAAATACAACTTAGATGATCAATTATGAGGATACTAACTCATCTCGAAAGGTCTGCTTGCTTTTTTTTTTTTATAATAAAAATGATTTGATATTTACCTTTGAGCCCAGATCAAACTTGAACTTGCTGTTTTCATCAGTGTTCTGCTCCCCATCGGTGTTCTCTTTGGTTTTCATGGCATTATAGAGGATGCTGGTGATTTTCAGCATCTCTTTCACAGCGTAACCATCTGCCTGATACAGACGCTTGAGATTCAGCTTCACATGAGCTTTAGTCGCCTAGAGAAACACATGCAGCGTTTTTGACCGACAGTTTGATAGATCACGCTGACACCATAAATATGGCGAGAATGCTACAAATACTGTAAAACATTGGCTTTGTTTAAAAAAAAAAGTCTAAGTGAACATATATGATGAATTATTAATAATAATAATATAGTTTACCATGAATTGAGCCACAGCTTTGATGAAAAACACTCTGTCGGACTCTGTGTCAACATCACTGGGGATTTCCATCTGAGGTTCATATCTAGGGAAAGATACATGTTATTTAACATTACCTAATATTTTGGGAATATTCTCGGTCTCTGTTAAAACACACCTAATATAATATATTAATATATCTTACCTCTTAACAAGCCAGATGAGGATTTCAGCTACTAAAGGGAAGTTAGGAGATCTGAAGTTCTCCATGGAGATGAGACGAGGGTAGCCGAGCGCTCGCATCATCTCTGTAAAATCTACATATCCATAACATACTGGAAGTGTTCAAATAATATTCATACACCTTTTTCATGCATGCATTAGCATAAGCTTTCTCTTCTACTGAAATAGTATCTAATTACATAACAACTCTTTGATTTTATGATGCACATACTAAAATTATAATGGTCCTTTTCGGTTCACTTACTTCTCAGATCTCTAAAGGACATGATTTCTGATTTTATATTCAGTAAACGCAACGCTCACCTGTTAGACAAAAAGAAAAATGACACATTCCACTAAAAGCGATAGATTTGAGTTGTTAATGCACTTAATAAGGCTTCAAATCTAATTGAAAGCGAACATCTCTCAACAACTATGCATTAATATATGAATAACTTCATGTTCAAGGACAAATATACTAATTACAAGTCACATCAGAATACAGCAGTTAAGCTAGCTTGATAGATAAAGATCATCGTCCCATCTCAAGATTCTGTCCAAATGCTGGTAATCGACAATTATAACAAACGGCTACTGTTTTAGTCGTAAATCATGTCAAATAAAACGATAATTAGCATAAAATAGCGGAATTCTTGCTTTGCGTGAGCGTATGTTGCTGTGCTTGTCACTATGGCAGCCATAAGGAGCTACGGGAACCCAATAAGAACAAACAATATTGTAAATGGGAAACGCGTTTACAGAGGATGTCCGTCTGAAAATTACTTTCTTGGAAATTACATTATTATTTGGTACCCAGGTATTTAATATTAATAACAATGGTTTCAACACTTATCCAATGGTATGCATGATAAAAAATCCCCCCCCCCCAGATATCATCTACAATATATACAATAAACAGTTAATTCACAAAATAGGACATTTTATATTTTTATTATTTCCTCAATTTTCTCAAAAGCTGTACGTTCTGTGAATTTGAGGGAAAATGTCCACAATTTCACATATCGCCTGTCCATTTCTGTTTATGTAGATGAAATTTCCCCCATAATGATTGAAACGCGCATATAAATAAAATAAAATCATCTTTGTCTGCATTGTCTGTCTTTCGATGATTCGCAGTTTTGGCGGGATACATATCTATGGTTTTGGGCGTGATGACGTGCTTCTTACGTCATGCCGTTCGAACGCGTCGCGGCGGCGGTGTCTGCAGCGCGATTCAACAACAACATAACAAACTCACAGACCTCCAAAACCCACACAACAGCGACCAAAACCGAAAATTAAACTCTGTACGACAATAAACTGAGGTGTTGAGATGGAGAACATCTTTCTGGACACGTAGGGGGCGGAAGTCAATTAATTCCTGGTAGTTTGAGAGAGCTGCAGTCCGTTAGCTGTCAACAGGTGAATCAGATCTGTGAAGTAAACGATGTCATCCAGAGGTAAGATTACAACAGCTATGAAAACGCTTCACTAAATGAGTAATAGCATCTGAAATGGACCTGGACTGAGTTAATTTGTTCGTTAAAAGGTGGAATATACAGTACAGCCCAATATGGACAATATACAATGCATTATAATACAATTTGCAGTACAGTACACGTATACCATACACAAAAGGGGTTTTCAATCTTTTAGATGTCATGCACCCCCTAATATTTAAATGCAGTTATGTGTTTTCAGGTAGTAAGACTCCATTTATACTGTGAAAAATGAATATAAATATTATAATTATTATAAATATGTGCAAATTATTATAATATTTTAATTTATTATTAATTATTTTTTCTACTCACTCTATTACTGTACGGTTTGGTGTTATTTATTTGTTTAAATATTTTATTTTTTAAATATTTATTTAGTTTCAACTTATTTAGTTATTTTGACATTTTTACACTGTTTTTCTAATCTCACAGTGCTTTTACAGCACACATACAGAGTGGGGTGTATCTAAAATAAACATACAGCAGTGATTGATGTGCCTCAATCTCTCCATCAGCTCTGTGGCAGCAGCCGTACGTGAACATCTTCAAACACATGAAGGTAGAAGAATGGAAGAAAGCCAGCAAAGAAGGAGATGTCACCACATACATGGTAGGAGGTTTGTTCCTTTCTCATAAAATTAAAATTAAGTGTGCTCCATTCAGGATTGAGCCGATCCGAACCGATTGTCGATCACAGGAAGGATACGATCACCGATAACTATATTTTTGAAGCCTTCTTTTTATCATGTAGAATTATTTATAGTGATGCTCCAATCAGGATTTTTACAGACATTCATTCAGGGCCTGAATTTCATTTTTGAAAATGGGAGGAATTCCCCTCTTAGGTGACTCTTGTGAGGATTTAATTTAATTTGACATTTTTCAAAAATACATAATTATCTCACCTAAATGTTTGATCATGCAGTGCATTTTCGTTTTTACAATGGGGCAATTGTTGCACAATAGCTTACACTCAGCACAAGCTTGATTTGGCCTTATGTGTGTGCGCTTTGAGTGTACATGAGTGCACCGTCGCTAGGAGAGCGCGCGAGTGCTGATTGCTTTAAACACTGGCAAGACTTAAAAAGAAATGCAAGTTATAAACTTTAGTGACTATGTGACACTGCCTCGATTGTGCAAGTGACAGTTCCTGTGTCAACTGTGCAGTGTGCAGCATGCTGCTCGCTTATAGTGCAGACACGATGTGTGGTGATTTGAAGCCATTTGCACATTTTGAGAGTTTGTTTGTAAATTTCACAGTTTGTGAAATTGCGTCTCACAGAAAGTTTTCAAATTACTTATTGTTGCACAATAGCTTACACTCAGCACAAGCTTGATTTGGCCTTATGTGTGTGCGCTTTGAGTGTACATGAGTGCACCGTCTCTAGGAGAGCGCGCGAGTGCCGATTGCTTTAAACACTGGCAAGACTTGAAAAGAAATGCAAGTTATAAACTTTAGTAATGATGTGACACTGTCTCGATTGTGCAAGTGACAATTCCTGTGTCAACTGTGCAGTGTGAAGCGTGCAGCTCGCTTATAGTGCAGACACGATGTGTGGTGATTTGAAGCCATTTGCACATTTTGAGAGTTTGTTTGTAAATTTCACAGTTTGTGAAATTGCGTCTCACAGAAAGTTTTCAAATTACTTTGTAAGTTATATAACAAAGAAATATGAATTGTACCTCACCTTCAGTATTATAATAATTTTTTTTTTTTGATGCATGTCATGCCAAACCTCTCACGGCAGGTGCATCGTCAGCTTGAAATTGGTTAATGAGATCGGTCTTTATAGAGACAAAAAAATTTGAGACGGTGCTGTTGCATGTCATGCCAAACCTCTCACTGCAGGTGCATCGTCAGCTTGAAATTGGTTAATGAGATCGGTCTTCATTGAGATAGCCGATCAAACTTCCCAAAGCGATTAGCGGCCGATAGCGATCGGTAGCCGATCAATCGGAGCATCCCTAATTAATTACAATATGATGTTGTTGCTGCAGAGGATTCTCATTAGCATTCAGTTTTTGTATGCATGTATTTTTCATGTTGATTTGTTTATTGGTAGGATAAGACCCTGAAATGTTCTGTGTTCCGGATCCGCGGCTCCACACCGGCCAGTAACTACATCCTGCTGCCCAAAACCAGCAGCCAGTCTCTGGGTCTCACCAGCCGGTACCTTTGCCTGCTGTTCAGACCCAGCCCAAACAAACACTTCATTGTGCACCTGGACATCGCTGCTGAGGTGAAAAATTTAGTTGTTTTTTTATGCATAGCTTTGTAATGATACAGACTTTCATGTACATCTCTGTTCTGCAAATAATGTCTTGTGATGATTTTTCTTTTGATTTATCACTCTTTGTTGCTTTGTTCATCATTCAGGAGGGTCAGGTGATCCGTGTGTCGTTCTCTAACATGTTCAAAGAGTTCAAGTCCATGGCTGCAGTTCCCTTTTCTGTGTGGAGCTGCACACGGTTCAGTGTATGAGAATACAGCCAGTACTGCTAAACAAGGTATCTCACACTTGCCATTTTTTTATGATGTTTTCTACATGCAGGAAGCGGGGGTTTTTTTGTGGTTACTGATTGATAACTTGTGCATTTCAGGTTTAGTGGGCCCAGTGCCGCCAAACACGAGGTGGACGTGCTTGACAATGGATCTACGTTACGTGCTCTCGATTTACCTCAACAGAACCCACAGTCACCTTAAGAGCGTCAAACTCTGTGCCAATATGTCTGTTAAAAACATCATCACCAGTGATCTGCTGTTTGACCCCGGTACAGTTTGATCTTGATCGTGCATGTGTGGTTGTATCTGTTATGGTTGCTTCTGTCTAATTGTATATCGTCTTTGGACTCTGGAATGGTCCTGTATAAATTAAATGATTATTATTATTATTACACAAAGATCTTATTTTTTTGTAGGTTTGTCATTCTCTGAATTCAGGCAGTCTGGTGTGATGTTGCCAGATGGCACTGCACCGATGCCCAGAGAAATGTGGTTCCCTGTACCGAAAGGCCAGAGCTGGCACAACTTATATGATTACATTAGGTGAGTGCAGCCTGTTGTGGAGATTATTCTGTTAAATAAACACCTTGCTTAAAGGAATAGTTTTCATTTTTGGGTGAACTGTTTCTTTAATAACACTGTTGGAGTTAATAGGTTGTCCATATTTGTTTAACCTGCTCATTTTCACTTCATATTCAAAAATGAATGTTTACATACACATCTAATTCTATTTAGGGATTTTATATATATAAGCACTTTTTAAAAACACTTTTCAATAAAAAAAAAATTCTGACAGCACCACCATGGACTGAGTTCTTTGCCGATTAAGCATGTGCATATATATCCTTTTAGTGGATTTTAAAAATAAGGTGATTGCATGCAAAAAAAATTCTGATTAAAAGAGGCATATTCCAGAATTTGTGGAATCAGGAAATTGTCTATAAAATGAATCTAGAAATCGGAATACTAATTGGAATATTGCTAAATTATTGATGTACATGTAAATAAGGTCAGTGATTCACATGCAAATGTTATTTCATTGTTTCAGAATGTATATTGCAAACATAGAACCTCTTGTATGTAACTGACAGGTTTCCCTCAGATGGTACAAAGTTACCATTTGATTCCATACAGAAAGGATCCAACAGTGAAACGAAAAGTGAGTCTTGAGCATGTAAACATACACAATCACATACAACACTGTGCATTTTATCTGATGAAACCATACGCTGACTCCGCAGTCTCAGCCGAAAAAAGTCCTCAAAGAGAAGAGAGTCGTGCTGTAAACATTAGTAAACCTGTACAAGACCGAGTCTCCCTCATCCAGCAGATCACCACCCCCAAGCCTGCGAGAGTGAGTGTTTGTGTGTGAACTTCAGTTGACTTCATTCCATTGCAACTAATGTTGACATTTACAAGCCCTAATGGCTTTTCTCTCTCTTTCTCTTCTTTCTCTCTGTGAAGCGCACTAAGCAACGTTCAGCAATCCAGACAAAGCGTCTGCCTGAGCTGAATTATACACATTCTGGAGGCTCAGAGAGCCCGGGGTCACCAGGTCAAAGGTCGCAGGCAGGCGAACAGGTCACAGTAGTGCGTGCGGATGATGCTGGAGTACA